GTTATTTGCTTATGTGGCATTTATGAGTCGTATTTTTATTTTATTTTATTTCGTTGCTTATGTGTTGTCTTTCCCGTTGTACCCCTCTTGTGAGAGTTTTCGTATGTGAGCCCAAAGGGCGTTTGTGTCTTTTGTTTCGAGTCATGTTGTAGGAGGCTATTTAAAGCCCCATTTTATTCTATGATGGCTAATGAATGATTATTAAGAATTTTCCTGCACTTGTGTTTGAGAGCCTTTGAGAGTTCTTGGAGAGCTTTGGAGAGATCCCTTGGAGAGGGAAATTGGCGCATCACCCACCAACCTTGGAGACGGCCGGGTTCGTGGTTTTCTTCTTTATCTCTGTCATCGTCTCCTCGTCGAGCTTCCAACCCCTCCCCCATTCTCTTTCAACTCACGGTCAAAGCATCCTTCCCGGACCCTCCTCCTCTCCAACCCCCACATTCCAAGCTTGCCCGAGCCCTTGTCGCCGGCCCTCCACCCTTTGGTTTCTTTAATGGGTTTCCTAATTTGGGTTTGGAATTAATTGAAATAAATTTGAAATTCAAATTACCTCAAATTTGAATTCAAAATATTTCTTAAATTAGTTATTCTATTTTTGGAAAGTGATTGAGTTAAATCCAATTTCAAAATTTAAATTAATGAGGATTTAAATTAATTCTTTCCTAAATCCAATTCCAAAATTAGAAATCCATAATTGCTTTTACAACTCAATCACCTAACTCCTGTATGCCGCCGGTTTCATGACCTCACCCACTAATTATTTCTCCAATTATTTCCTAATCTCAATACTCTACTTAGGAAACATTTTCAAAACTCCAATTCCCCCCACATGGCCGAAACTCCCCCACCTCCTCATAACGTCAATCAGCCCTTAAATCAAGTAATTGATTTAAAGATTTCCTAAAATCCCATCCTCACATCCCGCCTCCCCTCCTTAGCCGCCCCAACATCAACTATTCCACAGCAAATCACGCCTAGCCCTCTTCAATATTTCCCACCCTCTATTTCCAAAATCTGAGATTTACCTTTCTCAGATTTTGAGCCTAAAATCTGAAACTGTTTCAGAATTTGGGATAAAACAAACCCTTGAGGTTTTGTCTCTTCTTCGTTTGCAAGGAGAAACTTCTTTCTCTTGGTACCCACTTGTGAGGCGGACCAAATATCAAGAAGGTTCTTCATCTCAGCATCAATGAATGACAAGATCCATTGACGAGAACTTCGACGACATCAAGTGACGGTTCGCTACGTCTCCTTAAACAAAGGTTTTCTCCTTTCCACTCGTACCCAATTTCTTCTAACTCTAAATTCTCAATTGATTGGTTGTAATCACGAAAGCTCTTTCAACTGCTCTTGCCAAGCCTAGTCACTTGTAGGATTGAGTGAAATCTTCTATGCATCCTAAGTCTCATTGTTAAATGAGGGATTAACTTGAAGCCTACTATTTTTATTGTTGTTATTTTCTTGATTACCTTGAACGTTCAAAATTTGGCGCATGTAATTTAACCTTTGCAGGATTAACTCCTTAATTGTTTTATTCGCCGTGGATATTTGCTAATAATTTTATTTGGAATTTATTCTAATCGACGAGTTGTGCAAAGTCTAAAATAAAGTCACAAGCATATCATTTTAATTAGTCCTGCATCAATTGACTACTAAAACAAATATAGATCATGAAATAAAGGTTGAACCTTTATAGTGTATAAAAAGTTTATGATCCAAGTAAATTATTTTTTTTTAAAGACTAGTACAAGAAAATGAGTACCTCCATAGATGATCTATAATCTCCCCTTTCCCAATTTGCTGTTCAAGTAGCATAGGAATAGCATCTGGACTAACATATCCATACCTATACAAGACAAAACCAGATAGACAACAATCAAATTGTTGGAGATTATACAAGAGATTTATACTATTCCCTAAGAAAAATTAAACTTTCATATGACCAAACAAAGCTTTGAACAGTGCTAAAATAATAAGGATCATTTGCAGACATACTTTGACTGTTCATACTTTTTTTCTGTTCAGAACCTTATTATTTATATGTATATATAAACAGCCATTATATAATTTGATGTTTAATAAATCATATCTAGGGCTTAGCTTAATGCTGGAATACTATAGTGTAAAGTGTAACCTTTTAGGGTGGATATAAATGTCCCTATCCCTACTAATATCAATGGCATACGCCAAATAAGCGCTGAATCTACAAAAACTCACCAGTTCCCAGACACTTCTCCAGTTTTACTTTGACTAAATATGATAACATTTCCAGCATATTTATGACCTCCAATGTGTGAGCAAGGACTAACAAACACTTGATCTTCGAGACCACGCAAATATATCTCCTCCTTAAATTTTTCAATAAGAATAGGACCACAAACACCACACCTTTGATCGCGACTACCATGAGCGCAAACAAAAATATATGAACCTGACAATGTCTCAACTGCTCCAGGTAACCATTCAGTGTCCTTCACAAGCACTAATTCAACAAAATTATCAACATCAGCATCTGTCAATCTCCTGCAAGCAACACTTGAATTTACTATTGTTCTTGCATATACACACATACATATATTATAAGATAAAATAATTGATACCCATAGATTATCTAACCGATATCCAATCCTGTCAGGAAATATCAAAACATCTCCTTCTGATGAATCAGAAATATCTGTAGCTCCACATATGGTTAAAAGAGTCTGTCAAAAAATTTGTAGCATTAGTATACTAAAAAGCTACGATACTCCCTAATAGCCAGTTCTGTCAAAATGTCATTTTGATGAAACAATTTAGTTTGTGCTGATCTTAAAGATATCTAATTCAATATTTAAAAGACGGCTCACACAATAAAATTCAAAAGAAAAAAAATTTGTTGTCTAGAGTGAAATCCAGTAGTCTGTCTATCACGAAGCAGTCAGAGCTGCTTCAAAACAATAACAAAGTCAAAATATAATTTCTTACTCTTTGGAGATCTATATATTACCAACAAATATACAATCAATTACATGTTAACAAATTCTATACCTTGGCCAAAATTATTATGAAATTAACACATGAATGCTCAATAAAATTTTTATTCTGCAAGAAACAACTACATACCCTAAAAAAAAAGGATAACTAGGCATCTAAAGTTTAAAATTGCAAGCAAACCCATGCTTATCCAGAACCTATGCAAAAGCTAGTACGTCACAAAATATGGTGACCTTTTGGCTGGAAGAATAAAAGGAAATAAAGAGTTGTTCAAGAAAATATTGGGAAGACATGGTACAGAAATTTTTAGATAAAATCACGAAAGACATGGAAAACTATGATTGAGAATGGCCTCTCATCCATATCATTAATTAGGTTCACTGCGACGTAGCAAAAGCAGAACATAACAAAACTTGATAACAATATGTTGAAATCTTAGAAATTTAAGCTTGTTAATCATATTTGCAACCATCTTCAAAAAAAATCAGAAATTGATTTCATTAAGCATCAAACTAGTTGCAACCTAAACAATTAAGAGAGAGCACCAGAAAACCTTTTCTGTACCATGTGAAATTCCCCTCATGTTATTATTCCAGAGAGAGAGAGAGAGGCTAATATCCTTCTAGAATGATAAAAGCCATTGTTCTCATACATTTTCCAACCTTCATTCAATTTTTTAAATGACTGAGATTTAGGGGTTGTATGGGTGGTGATGGACCGACCGATTTGATCGGGAGAGAATGAGAAAGTTTCATAATCAAGAAGGAACTTTTTAGGAATGTTCTTAATCAAAGGGGAATTATTTAGGAAAATTTTTAATTAAAATTCGGAGGGAATAATTTAGGGCAAGAGATCTAATTTGAATTCAAAATCTAAGAGGGAATTATTTAGGTAAAGGGAGGAGGAATCAAGAGGGAATTGTTTACGAAAGTTTTAATTACAATTAAAAGGGAATTATTTATGACAAGAAATCTAATTTAAATTCAAATATGCAAGGGAATTATTTAAGAAAAGGGGCTGATTTGAGAAGGAATTAGGGGAGCCCGTTTAAGGCTAACAATGTAGTGATTTCAGATTATATTTTGAGTTTACTGAAATTAAAATTTCTTGGGTTGTGAGGGCACTTGGGAGAGCCGGATATTCTCTCCAATTGAAGATCTAACTTTATTCTGTTGTTTTCTTTCATATATCTTGCAATAAAAAAAAAGTTTTGGTGTGATCTTAATTTCTTATTGTCGTTTACTGATTTCGAGGAAATTGTATCTACTTTCTATCAAATTGGTATAAGAGCCTAGATTTGTATACCTATGGCGGGAAGAAAGGTAGAAATGTTGAAAAGGGAGATTGGACAATTGAAATTTGATTTTGTAGAAAAGATTTTAGGTTTCGAAAAGCAATTTTTAGCCATCCATGAGAAGTTCGATGAGAAATTTTCCATCATGGATGAGATGATAAAGAAGCTGCTTGAGGGTCAAGCCAAACTGACAACATTGGAGGTGAGAGCATCATTGACCAGACAATAAAATAGGAGAATCCCTAATATAGCGATAATGAGGGAGAATCATGAGGTAGAAATTTTGGGGGAAGAAGAGAAGATGCCATCTTTGGAACCACTTCCGAGGAGGAGAAAGGATGAATGAGTAAGATTTTTGGTGGAGCTGCAAAGTTGCAAAGTTTGGAAGGAAAAGAAGATGTGCAGAAGATAGAAGCACAATACATGATTCAGCCACTCCTACAAGAATATCAAGAGGTGTTCCAGCCAGTTCGGGGTTTGCTTCCTCCGTGGGAACACAAGCATGCTATCATTTGGAAGGACGGAGTCTCACATATCAATGTTCATTCATACTATTCTCCCCATCTCCAGAAGGATGAGATGGAGGGATTGATTATGGGGATATTGGAGGCAAGGATTATCCGACCTAGTCATAGTCCATTTTTTAATCTAATGCTATTAGTCAAGTGCTTCAACTGTAGTTCGTTCCACCTTGAGGACAAGGTGACACTTTGGGAGAGGAGTATTGATGGACCGCCCAATTTGAGTGTCATGTAGATGATGGTGGTGGTGGCAACGGGTAGTTGGTGGCTTGTAATGTTCGAATAGTGATGGTGGTGGTGGTTAGGGCAATGGCTGTTAGCCATGTAGATGATGGTGGTAACGATAGCGGTGAATAACAGTGTTGGAGATTGGTGGCGGTGGGTAGTGACAGGCGCCTGCGAGTGAAGCTTCATGTTTTCAATATTTCAGTAATTTAGGAAAATCGGGCCAAGTTCAAATATATATTGAAAATGAAAAGGCTATGAATTTCAAGCATAAATTAACCTCAATAAAATATAAAATCCACAAACATCATTACATCAATAATAAAAGACCCACAAACAAACATCAATAATTAAAGTACATATCCATGCATATTATAAAAAAAAGGCGTCCCATACACATTAATTATTTGCATATCAAGTTGTTCTTCCCGCTGTGCTTCCCGTACTCCAGGACATGAGCTTCTAGCTCACATTTTGTCACGAACTTGTTGCCACAATCGATGCAGGTAAATTTTAATTTTTTGTGCAAAATTTTATCATGCTCTTTGAGACCAGCCGCGGACCTAAATCGCTTGGCCTCGTCTTTTTTGCAGGTGAGGCAGATAAATCCTCCTCCCGAACCCATATGTACAGGGAACAGGAAGAGAGGAATGGCAGAGGAAGAGAGGAATGGCAGAGGATGGGGATGTGGGTGGGAGAAGTAAGAAGAAGATGTTCAGTTTTTATAAGGAATAATTAATGTGCATGGGACGCCTTTTTTTATAATATGCATGGATATGTACTTTAATTATTGATGTTTGTTTGTCGGTCTTTTATTATTGATGTAATGATGTTTGTGGATTTTATATTTTATTGAGGTTAATTTTTGCTTGAAATTCATAGCCTTTTCATTTTCAATATATATTTGAATATGGTCTGATTTTTTTAAATTACTGAAATATTAAAAACATGAAGCTTCACTCGCAGACGCCTGTCACTACCCACCGCCACCAATCTCCAACAATGTTATTCACCGCTATCGTTACCATCATCATCTACATGACTAACAGCCATTGCCCTAACCACCACCACCATCACTATTCGAACATTACAAGCCACCAACTACCCGTTGCCACTGGCAGCAGTGACACTTTGTAATTAAGAAGTTTCATAATCAAGAGAAAACTTTTTAGGAAGGTTATTGATCAAAGGGCAATTGTTTAGAAAAAATTTTAATTACAATTGAGAGGAAATTATTTAGTGTAAGAGATCTAATTTGAATTCAAAATCTAAGAGGGAATTATTTAGAGAAAGGGAGGAGAAATCAAGGGGGAATTGTTTAGGAAAGTTTTAATAATAATTTGGAGGGAATTATTTAGGGCAAGAGATCTAATTTAAATTCAAATATGCGAGAAAAATATTTAGGAAAAAATGATTTGAGCGGAAATTAAAGGGGCCTATTTAAAGCTAACAATATGGTGATTTCAGATTATCTTTTGAGTTTACAGAAATTTAGAATTTCTTAGATTATGAAGGCTCTAGCCATCGGCTAGGGAGATTAGGATATTCCTCTCCAATTGAAGATCCAACTATATCTTGCTATTTTCTTTCATATATCTTGCAATAAAATAAAAAGTTTTTGGTGTGTTCTTCTAAATTTATTATTGTCGTTCAATGATTTCGAGAAAATTGTATCCATTTCCTATCAGGTGGCTAAAAAAGAATGCAGTGTAAAAGAAGTACTTTGGATTTATTTAGATGAGTGTAAAGTAAATTTAGGTGAACAAATTTTTCTTTGGTTTAAAGTAAAATGAATGTAGCATAAAGTTTAAAAATGGTGGCCGGTGGGTGGTTGCAGTTAGAGGGTGGCAGTGGTGGTGGCCCGCTAGGATAGCCGCCAGTGGGTGCGGTGGCCACCTAAGGTAGGTGAAGGTTGCCGACGGTGATGGCCGACAGCAGTCAAGCGAGCTTGATTGAGATGTAAAGTGTTCTTGCTAAAAAATGGGCGAGTTTGCTTTATCTCAAAAATAAATTAGAATGATTTACACTACATTTACTTCACTTTGAATTCTTGTTTCATACAACCAAGCACCAAAATTGTTAAAACCCTTGTATTTGGAATACTTTATACCCTAAAGTATTCTAACCAAATAGCTCTTAAAAGTGTTAAAAGTCATTAGCATTACAAAAAATAAATAAAAATTATCTTTTAGCTACTTTTACTCTCAAGCTTTCAAGATTTTGAATGAACAACAGAAGACGTGTACAAGCAATAGCTCCTATATATATATAACTTGCTTCCCTGGTTTCCAATCAATAGGATTCCTATGTAATTTAGATTGCCATGATCTGAATTTTGGATCTTTCTTTTGAGGAGAAATGGTTGCACCTGGGAAATAGTCATCATCTTTTTCACTTATGAACATCATAATTGATTAGGGCCATCAGAAATAGTTTTTCCCATTCAATAACAGAGAAGCTTCCTTGGTTCATTACTGGAGATAACATCGAAGAAGAAGCTTTTATCGAAGATCATTTCCTGTTTAACCATAGTTATGGTTAAGAGAGCAGAAGAGATGGTACGGTGGGAGATGTGAAAGCTCTAGAGAGGCGACTTGAGGGAGAGGTGAAAGCTCAGGAGAGACAAGACGTGTTAAATAACGGGTGTATGTCAAGTGCATCTCACTCTAGAGAGACGAATTGTAGTGTAGGAGAAACGAGACCGAGTGTGTTTTGCTCTAGAAAGATGTATCGCCCTGGAAGATGAAGCGACAGTCAAGTGAATTTCAAAAGCGAAGGCATAAAAGTTTGGAAGACCTTTTACTAACATTTGTGTGATTCTCATAGAACTCTTTAGCAAGCAAAAAAGATATAAAACAACATAGATCAATGTCTCTAATACCATATTAAAAATAAGTGTATAAGAGAGGAGAAAATTTGAATCTTATTTCCTAATCCAAACTATAGAAGCGGTAAATATTTATAGATGTTAAACAGTCAATTATTAATCCTAAAATTACAGAACGAAGGAATAAATTACTACGTAATTAATGGAAAACAAAGAAGCAAGAACGAGCATTGATGGATTGTTGAGGTGAAAAATCATCACACGATTGATTTTATCAAAGCAAACGGATTGCTTCAACAAATGACAACCCCACATATTCTAGATTTTCCACAAATTACAAAGTAGTCAACATCTTTAACACATCTCACATCTTTTTTTCATTCTTTCCAACTTAAAAAAAAACGCAAAAATAAATATTTTGATGAAAAAACCTTTGGTATATTTAAGATTAATAATGCATATACAAAAGTACATACACTTAAAATACGTAGTTAGAAAAATTTCTATCTTCGTTTACTACTTCCCATTTGATAATTACTTTTGACATGCTTCAGATGCAAATATATCATAAAAAATATCAACTTCATTTTTTATTTTTTTTAATCTTGATAGCATATGCCTAAATATGTGAAATATTTATGATCTATGTGCATCTATCTGATGTAGTGGATGGTCGAAAGAATCGACCTGCAAGAAGGATTTCGATCCCAATCCAGGGAAGAAGGCAAACACAAAGCTTCAAAGCTTTAAAAGAGAGTAATATTCATTCAATGATCCTTTCCTCTTACAATACTTGATATTTATAAAGCCAAAAGAACATTCTAGAGGCTAGTAATAACAAACTTAGATAACATATTCCTAAAGCTGCATTTAGTTAAGATATTCCTACATCATACTCCCCTAGGGTCAAAAGGGCTCGACTCCGTCGAGGCTTGTCATTGGTAGGGAGGTAGGTGTAGTAAACCTAAACATTCCTCCGGGATCGAAAATTTTGCATATTTGTGAATTAGCATATCCTTGTTCAAAGGATGCCAATCTAGAACAAATTGGAATGTTCATCCCTATAGTATATGTATCGGGCTTCAAACCAACAATTTGGAGTTCAAGTAACATTTCTAAAACAAATTCATTGTGCCCATTCTCCGTGCAACAAGCGATTAATCCATTCCAAGTTAAGATGATGGGCTCAAATCCATCGTTCCTCATTACGTAAAGCAACTTCTGTGAGAGGTTTAGTTGATTTGTTTCTACAGCTTCATATTGCCTTCCAAGCTCTCCGTTGTTAGCTGCCCAGTCAACAAACGAGTCATCTACTTCATTATCAAACATCCCGCTTCTTAGATTTGTGAAATCACCATTCTTCCACCATACAGATAATATCAAGAGTAATATTGGGCTCTCATCGACAAGGAATCCCTTAGCATAACTAAACTCATCCTCACGAAATGCAGGCAAAGAAGCATCCCTTCTAAAAATATCATTGCAACACGATTTGTTCTCACAAAATATCATTTCTATAATAATTTATGAGACCATACCTTATCAGGAAGAAGGATTTCACCAATTGTAATATAACATAGTGTACCATCTCTTGCCCTTTCTTTAGTGTCTTCAGTGTAAGCTACAAGTGATGCAGGTATGGTGACCAATTGCTTCACTATTTGCTGAATTTTTGCATATGTAGTCAAATGGACATTCATACAAACATCTGAAGTGCATTTTTGGAGTTCATATTTCGGAAGCACTATCCGATTACTTTTCCCACACTCTTCAAAGCCTTTTGGGATTTCATATTTCTCAGAAGCCTTGGATACCTCCTATGGCTCTTTCTCTATATTTTTTGATTCATCTCCCAAAGTGATCTCATCTGATTGGCAATTAATCATCTCTGATGAAAGCTTTTGAACATCTTCATCTACAAATTTAAAATTGAATTTAGTAAAGTCGGAATATTCCTTCTCAAATAAATGTGACCGGGAAATTCCACAAAAGTATCCATCATTAGAGAAGTTTTCTTCAACTCCTGTGATGACCCCAAACATCAGATAAGTTTTCTTCATCACAAATTTGCTCTGAAATACCTTATCTGAATCGGAGTTTGTGTGAGTGAGAGGCTGACATGGTTCGGCGAATTGTTCTTCATCGCAAAAAAATGGTTTCTCTTTCAATCAGGAGTGCGCTAGCCTCGGCCACACTATTGCTGAGGGTAATCCTTGTATTGGCCTCCGAAACTTCAGGTTGAAGGTTAGATGATTCTAAGACATCTGAAACCGTCATTACAGACTTACAAGAATTCTTTCCATGCTTTAGATTATTTCCAGGGAGTGTTGTAGATATTTCAGAATCTCCAAAAGTTGTGATCGCGTTTCCATCGTTATCCGCTTGTTTTGATCCTTTGGTTGTTGGTGTTGAACCGGGCAAGTGAGCCACTGCTCGGTCAAGCTTATCCACACCATCTTCGACTTCTTTAGCTTCTTTTTCAAAAAAGGTGGGATGTAGGGAGAGGTCAGACGTTGAATCGTTGCAGCAGAGGGGGAGCGAGAGTAGAGTGGCGCCGAGGCTGAAATCGCGTTGGAGCGCGGGAGTGGTCAGGCTGGATTTAGGCGCGGTCCTCTTCGGATGCAGAGGTTGTGCGGCCAGCAATGGCGAAGTGGTAGCGGCGGGATCGGGTTGAATGTCGGGTCTGAGAATGCCATCATACAGGTTTGAGAGTTCTGGCGGACGGAAGACTCGGGTGACGGAAGGATTTGGGGAGTATCCCACTCTCAAAGATGTGTCTATTGGAGCGGAATCGAGCTGGAGCAAATCAAGAATGCGGGTTTGTTTGCTAGGCGAAGCATAGGGAATTTGCAAATCTGGCAGAGGACGTTGGAACGGAGGAGAATCCCGAATCTGGTATTGAAGCGAAGGGGGGTCGCGCCAGCGGAGAGGAAGCTCGAGCAGCAGATACTCTGGCGGCAGGTCACGCCATCGGAGAGAGAGTTCGAGCGGAGGGTAGTCGTCAACCACAATCGGTTGATTTCGGATCCCTTTGCGGGAAGCGGAGTAGAAGAGGGAAGGCGAAGACGAATATCTCGGTATGGTTGCCGACGACATTTGCATCTTCCTTATTGCCCGAAGGTTTTTGTCTACCCGATCGACTGATTCATTCGCTTGAGCTCGAAAGAAGGCGATCCAGCTTCAAACATCGTCGACAGCCCACCTTCCTTGACGTCGATCATCGTCGACCGCCAATCTTATTCTGCGGCTTCGATCGTCGTCGACAGTCGACCTTCTTCTGCAGTTCATCGATCTTCGCAAGCTCCAGGCTCTGATACCAACTGATGTAGTGGATCGTCGGAAGAATCGACCTGCAAGAAGGATTTCGATCCCAATCCAGGGAAGAAGGCAAACACAGCTTCAAAGCTTTAAAAGAGAGTAATATTCATTCAATGATCCTTTCCTCTTACAATACTTGATATTTATAAAGCCAAAAGAACATTCTAGAGGCTAGTAATAGCAAACTTAGATAACATATTCCTAAAGCTGCATTTAGTTAAGATGTTCCTACATCACTATCATAATAATATCAACTTCTTCTTCTTTTTTTTATCTTGATAGCATATGCCTAAATATGTGAAACATTTATGATCTATGTATGAGGTTTGTTTTTTTATTGCAACCAAGGTATATGTCATATAATAATGATTTACAGCATAGTAGAATTGCTTTTTGATTTACTAGATTCTTTGACAGATTAAAACCTAAATTTTCTGTCGCATGTTATAAATTTTGAATCTTATATGTAAAACAAGTTATTTAATTTGTTACAAATCACAGCAAGAACTCAAAAACGCCACAAGAACTCAAAAAAAAAAAAAAAAAAAGCTTCACAGCACAACTAATTAATCCTTTATTATACTCTAATTATCGCAAATAATATTATTATCATCTTATAACTTAAAATATTAATTAATTTCAGTGAATCAATTCAGCTGACAATTTTAATTTAAATTTCTTAAAGCCAGTATTCCACTTATTTGTTTATCAGCCTGATGGTGTTTTTAGTGATTTTCTCATCAGATTGTGCTTAACTTCACAACCAACATCCTATTAATTTTCTTGTCATACTCTTTTAACTTCTAAATCCTAAAAATAACTTCCAAACACTTTTCGAGATCTAGCCAAATTTAATATCTATCATGCTATATAGTTTTCAGGATTTAACACTATGTGGATTTACTAAATCGCGATTTATACATCACCCAGTACTGTTGAACAGTATGAGCATTTCATCAAGATTTTCACAGAAATAAACAGCGCCGGAGTTCAACATATTTAAAACCAACGAGGATGCTCACCTTTTTCTTCATATCGCCCTTCCGGGCCTTCAACGCGGCAGCCAGGAGCTGCGGTAGACGGTCAGACTTCGCCGACTCAACATTAGGCAGCCAAAATTCGGGCGACTTGTGCCGCAAGAACACGTGCCGGTCGTACAGCTGTACCGTCCCCACAAGCGAATCCCGCCCGAACTCCGATCGCCCGAATCCGAACTCCTTCGCCGACTCTCCCTCGCCGATGGCTTCAGAAGCGGAGGAGGTGCGCAGGATCTCCTTTCCGGGGGCGGCCGATGAAGCATCGGTCGAGTCGATCGACGGGGAGAAAGAAGTGGTCTCCATGGAAGAGTGAAAGAAGGAAAAGAAGACGAGAGTTCGTAGAGATCGTATTCGATTGGAAGTGAAAGAGACCAAAGGAACCAGAAGCGGCTGCCGCTGCATGCGACAATGCATAAGAACTGGGACGGGAAACGAAGGAAATGAAGGCGGAAACGTATTTCGGAAGATGTTTACTAAAACATGAGATACGTTGACCAGGAGACGCTACAAACGTTTAAAACAACAACACCTAAGGGTTCATTTTTCAACGGAGAATTAAATATAAAATAGCTTTTTTCAAAATAGTAGAAAAATGAACATTCCATCCAAATGATGATGATAAAAAAATAATGTTTTTGTTTTTAAACCGACAAGGTTAAAAAAAAAAAAAACTCCGAAACAAACGAGACCTAAGTGCCTGTTTGGCAACAAGAATGATGTCCCATTTGAGCAGGATTTAAGCTCCTTGGAAGTTACGGAAGAATAAATCCTCCTGGTTGTTTTTGTTATAAATTCTAGATTTACTAATTCTTGCAGTTCGGCGGATTTAAGATTTCATGGCACAAGCGAGGTGGAGAGCGGACAGCAGAACCTGACTTCCAGCATCAAGTTACAAAAAACAGCCTTAAATCGGATTACATTACCGAACAACTCTAAAGGATTTAACCTTTATGTTACCAAACCGTTTACAGAATTTAACTTTAGCATGGTTTACTGAATCCGGATTTATAGGATTTAGTAAATCCTACTTGTTACCAAACAACCCCTAAGAAAAATTATTCGGATTGAATATTCTACTTAATTTTAGTAATGAATTTTTTTAATGTTCTTAAATTTATTTTGAGATAAGCTAATATATAAATTTAATTAAATTATATACATTATTGTGAGTTGGAATATTTGTGGTAGTAGAGAGATATATGGCAAAAGATTCAGCACGCACACAGAGTCATAAGAGATACAAGTATTTTTATGTATATACCCTAAAAAGAGAAAAAACTATGAGGTTTTACCCATTTAAAATGATTTCATGAGTGTTTGTTATTGGTTATAAATGATGTCTTTTATCTAAGAAAGATGTTGGCTTAATGTAGCAAATATACATCATATAGAGTGCATTACATGTTTGGAGTTGGAAGAATCCAATGATATGAGAGCTATCCTCAAGAAAACATTGACTTGTTCATTTGGTCGGTAGGACGTGGGCCATGGTAGTCGGATGGACTATAGTTAGAGGGAAACTACATAGGGACCATAGTCGGGCAATGAAGGTCGAAGGAGCCATAGTCGGGCGACAAAGATCGAATGGACTGTAGTCAGGTGACAGAGGTTGGAGAGATTGTAATCGGGTGACTGAGGTTGTAATGATCATTAGTCGAGCGACAGAGGTCAGAGGGATCATTGTAATCGGGCAACTGAGATCGAAGGACCATTGTTGAGTGATTGAGGTCGGAGGGACCGTAATCGGGAGGAAGACGTTGGCTTAATATAGCAAATATATATCATATAGAGTGCATTACATGTTTAGAGTTGGAAGAATCCAATGATATGAGAGCTATCCTCAAGAGAATATTAGTTTATTCATTTGGTCGGTAGGATTGTAGGTGGCAATGACTGTCATATGGACTATAGTTGGAGGGTAACTGTAGAGGGACCATAGTCGGGCAATGAAGGTTGAAGGAGCCATAGTTAGACAAAGGAGGTCGAAGGGGTCGTAGTCAAGTGACAAACGTTGGAGAGACCATAATCGGGTGACTATGGTTGTAGTGATAATTAGTCGAGCAACGGAAGTCAGAGAGATCATAGTAAGGTGATTGAGGTCGAAAGACCATTGTTGAGTGATAGAGGTCAGAGAAACCATAATCGAAAGGAATATGTTGGCTTAATATAGCAAATATATATTATATAGAGTGCATTACATGTTTAGAGTTCAAAGAATCCAATGATATGAGAGCTATCCTCAAGAGAACATTGGTTTATTCATTTGGTCGGTAGGATTGTAGGTGGGCAACGACTATCAGATGGACTATGGTTGGAGGGTAATTGTAGAGGGACCATAGTCGACAATGAAGATCGAAGGAGCCATAGTCAGGCGAAGGAGGTCGAAGGGGTCGTAGTTGGTGGGAAAAATTGTATATCACCACGCAGATTTTGATTTCTCCTATTTTGTAATCGAATACTGCAATTCAAATATATATACACAAGCCACTTTCCATTTTTTTTACTTCTCTTTCTAGAAAACATTTGATGAACTTCCCCAAAACACATGTACACTTTGCCTTTCAGAATAGTGTACATTTTATCTTTCCAAAATCACACTTTTCAAATTTTGTGCATTTCACACACACATCATTTCCACAATCAATATTGATTGAAAGCACACGTACACTTTTCACCTTTCAACACAAATACTTTGTCACTTTTCAAACAACTTATGAAGCCCTAGAACATAAAGCATATGATCTTTTTAACAACTTTATAAGCCTCAAGAACATACGCATATAGGCCATTTGATCACTTTGATAAGAGAATGATAATTATAGAATATAAAGAGACCATAATAACTTGCTTCAATTCACTGTTGAGATTTCATTGAAGAGAAAATAAAAAATAAAATAAAATAAAATATTCACTGACTGATTATGAAAACTAACTATTAGTGAAGCTTAAGCAAATGATTCAAGAAATCCTCTCAAATTTTGTAAAGATTGAGTAAACTATCAATAAGAGTTTAGTATTTTATTTCTCATTATTTCTTTGCTATAAAAAAAAATGACAACCCAAAAATTCTCAAGAATAACAAAATCTAGGTTAATAGTAGATGATCCATATGCATCTTGTAAACATAACGAAAATTTGATCCATAAAGACTCATTTCAAAGAAAAGAAAATATAGATTCAACAGGTTATACTCTTGATCAGACACAAGTAAATACTTTCATTCTCATTCTAACGGAAGCAGAGATATGAAATCTAGTTGACGATACTTTGCTAGAAATGGGTTTTATAACCATTCGTGATTCCAACTAATGGCTGGCCATGAAATTTTGGCATGAGAGCCAAGAATTGCAGCCGAATAATGAAGAAGAAGATAGATGATACCTTGCAAATGACAGGAATACCAACAGTTAAGGTTGCTGTCTACGTGAGCAAAGGGAGGCAGAGATTTCCGTTTTGCTTCCTTAGGTTCGATCGGCCAAGAAAGATGTGCGCAGGGCTGGTTAGGGCTCTCGGTTTGTTCTTCCTTGAAGTCAGTTGGAGTTGGCGTTTACGAACTAGAAGGGGATGGAGCAGGAGGGTTTTCGCTTGGAGTTCTTTGCAAAAATGAGCGAGGCAGAGGGAGATGAGGGGGGCTGGGCTATTCGCGAATGGGAGAGACGAGGGAAGCAGGCGAGCGGTTCCTTTCTTGCGAACTGCTGAGGAGATGGGGGTGGTTCGTGCGTATACAAGGGGCAACGGGATGGGTGGTTCGTCTTCACGCGAACTGGTGAGGGAAATAGGGAAATTTTCGGAACTGCCCAGAGAAGAACTTGGGAGTTGCGAACTGCAGGGAGGAGTCGGGTGGTTTCTCTCTATGCGTGTGTATGAGAAGGGAGAAGGAGTTCGGGGATTAAAGCATCGTGAACTGCTGAGAGAGAGAGGGCTTCGTGTGAGGATTAGAGGGAGCAGTTGTGCCGAACTGCCGAGAGTGAGGGCTCGTTTTCGCTCGATAGAGAGAGTGGGATCGTGGGATGAGGGATTTGGACCGGATTTAACTTAATTGCAATTTAGGTTTAGTTTAAATTAATTTTTGATTTAAATTTTAAAATAAGAGGTGATTATTAGGATGTATTTTAAAAAAAAAATCTAGACAAATTTTCATGCTTCTCATATATATATATTAGAATATATCTAATTAAATTATCCCATTTAATTAAAAAAAAATATTAGCTCGCGACTAGTCAAATCGGGCTAATCGGGGCTACTAAAATCGAATTCGACTCGACTTAATTTGATTCGATTTCGCTTCGATCGGTGTAGGAAATTTTGATTTTTAAACAGTTGATTTGAGTTTTGTTTGGAATTGAACTAAATCTAGATTGAATTGATTTTGATTTGGTTTGAATAAAAGGTCGAGTCCGTGCTATGTCATTAGGTATCCACCTAAGGGAAATCCTGCAGGTGACGTCTACACTAGGCTACGAAGATCTAGGTACTAGAATCAATTTCGGGAAAATTGACCTCAAATAATGAGGTCAACAATAGTCAAGTGACAAACGTTGGAGAGACCATAATCGGGTGACTATGGTTGTAGTGACGATTAGTCGAGCAACGGAAGTTAGAGAGATCATAGTAAGGTGACTGAGGTTGAAAGATTGTTGTTGAGTGATAGAGGTCAAAGGGACCATAATCGAAAGGAAGACATTTGCTTAATATAACAAATATATATCATATAGAGTGCATTACATGTTTGGAGTTGGAAAAATCCAATGATATCAGAGCTATCCTCAAGAGAACATTGGCTTGTTCATTTGGTTGGTAGGATTGTAGGTGGGCAACGGTGGTCAGATGGACTATAGTTAAAGGGCAACTGCAGAGGGACCATAGTTGGGCAATGAAGGTTGAAGGAGCCATAGTCAGGTAATGGAGGTAGAAGCGACCGTAGTCAAGTGACAAAGGTTCGAGGACAGTAATCGGGTGACTGAGATTGTAGTGATCATTAATCGAGCGATGGAAGTCAGAGGGATCATAGTCAGGCGACTGAGGTCGAAGGACCATTGTTGAGTGATAGAGGTCGGAGGGATAGTAATCAGAAGGAGACATAGGTCAGAGGAATTGTATTTGGGCAACAATGATTGAAGGGGCCATTGTTAGGTGATAGAGGTCAGAGGAATCTTAGTCAACCGGTGATGGAGGTTGGACCATTATCAGATGAAAGAGGTCATAAGGACCATAGTTAGTGGGCGACGGAGGTCGGAAGGACCGTAGTCAAAGGGTGACAGAGATCATAAGGACTATTGTCGTGTGACAATGGTCGAGGGGAGGGGATTGTAGTCGGTGGGCAATTATGATTGAAGGGACCATAGTAGAGCAATGAAGGTCATAGGGACCGTAGTCGAGCGATGGAGGTTGGAGGGACCGTAATCGGGCAACTGAGGTTGAATGGACCATTGTCGGGTGACAGAGGTTGACGGACCATAGTCGACGGGCAAAGTGGTCGAAGGG